TACTTAAAACCAAACACTTATCCTGCCAGGAGTGCACACCAATTGAACAACACCACACTTCCCTTTGAACACATCAGCGGAAACTCTCCCAACTGAACACAAAGGCCAACCGTCCCCCGGTGTCTCAGTGTGTTAGATGAGCTCATTCAGAAAGGTATTAAGCATGTGAATTACCACCGGGGACAATCTGTTCACACTGGGGGCGTCCCCCTACAGCAGCCATAAGGCCCTCAGTGGCCCAATGGATAAGGCACTGGCCTCCTAAGCCAGGGATTGTGGGTTCGAGTCCCATCTGAGGTGGCAGCAGAGTGGCGCAGCGGAAGCGTGCTGGGCCCATAACCCAGAGGTCGATGGATCGAAACCATCCTCTGCTAATCATTTATGGTGAAACTAAATCAATAATCAGGACGTCAGCTCACCTGCCGAGTGAACTTGTAGCCGCAGTCTATGCACTCAAACTTCCTCATTCCCTTGTGGCGACGTAGGTGAACACGCAGCTGCTCCCTCGCTGTGTAAAAGGCAATAAATAACATTAAGTGAGTTTTCAAGGCTTTTCTCCTCAGGCTACATGGTTTATTGATTTATAGTTTTTTTTTATGGCACCTTTGAAGGTCTTGCCACAGATTTGACAGCAGTGGGGTCGACCCTCCTCGTGTTTGCTGGCCTTGTGACGGACGAGCGCGCCTTTCTCTGTGAATCGCTGCTCACACACATCACAGCTGAACGGACGCTCACCAGTGTGTGTCCGCTGGTGTTTATCAAGACTGGCTGGGATTAGAAAGAAAGAATCAAACATGAAACAAAATATCTATTTAAATAAATGTTTGTAGTGTGTTCAAGAAGACTGCTTTCAGTAGTTGGATAAATCAAATGAATATGAATATCTCTATTTTAATCTAATCCAGAGGTTTTTAAATGCATTACTCCCAACCTTTAATTTCTCTAAATCTCCGTAATCTCAAGAAATAACAATTATTGCAACAATACAAAAAATGTAATGTGAACAGATTTTGTCAAACCTATTATGACACACATAATAGTTTTTAAAAGGACAATCATGCACAAAGTGTTTGAACTACATGTCCCATAGTTCTTTGGCTTAGGGGAGGTAAACAGGAAGTATGACGATGCAGGGGTTTCAGTGAGTTACACTGGGGCCTACTACTTAAACCCATTTAAATGACATAATTGAAAGTATACAGAATAAGCTATTACATGTTGTTGTTTGCTCATGGATGTACAGAGAACTACCACTGTATTACTTTAATACTGAAAACAACTTAAAAACGTGATGAATCTCAGGCAACTTCTGGGGTTATACAGAGTGTCTTTTTCTATGATTTTAGGCAGATTTGTGGAACAGAGATGTGCTTAAGTGTTAGTCCCAATGAATCCAAAAAATATGTGCATTTCAATTGTGACTCAAGTTGCAGCATTATGGTTAAAATAATGTGATTTGTTGTCTGTTGGTTTGAGAACCTATTGATTCGATCTGGTTGTGTTCACAGTGATGGAGATGGCAGCAGACAGAAGAGGATGGTCTTTACCTTGAGTCCTGAAGGTCTTCCCACAGAGATGGCACTGGTAAGGCCTCTCACCGCTGTGTATACGCAGATGCATGTTCAGGTTGTTCTTCTGGGAGAATGCATGGCCACACAGGGTACATACAAAAGGCCGCTCATTCCTGTAAAGCAAGACAACAAAAGACTCAGACAATCTGCACAAATGCGACCAATGTATTTTATTATCAAATCAGGAAATAGCTACCTGTGAATGGCTTTGATATGCATCTGCAGGCCGTTTCGACTGGACGCTCGATGGCCACACTCCTCACACACAAACGGCTTCTCCCCTCGATGTTTGGCTGCTTCGTGCACACGCAGCTCCGTCCGAGTTAGGAAGGTTTTGGGGCACTGGGAACACTGAAGAGTCAAATATTGTTAAAACAGAATGAAACTACAGCCTTAAACCTTGAGGTTATTAGTGTTTATTGCATTGAAAATATATGGCAAACTGTGGGAAACCTTTGTTAACCTGTTAAACCCCGAGCCTGTTTTTCAGGTTTCAGGCTCGAAAATGACATTCCCAGAACAAATGACCATATCTTCCCTTCTAAAAGGGTTAAATTAATAATCTTTTTTCTCAAAGTAATGATAAACCTGTCAGTTTGATGTAGAAAAGTCAGATTCAATATAGATGTTCTTTATTTTAAAGAAAATTCAGATTGAACATGGTAAAAAACTGTAAATTATAGTGTCCGTCCAAAATATATTTTTGTACTTATAGTGAAAGCTAACCTTGGATGATGGGTTAGTAGACTAAAAGCTTTAGCAATCCAAAGTAAAACATATAAGTACCCTGTATCAAGATTGATGCAAAACAAGTGATATTTGACCTTTTTAGACAGATTTAGCAAAAAAAAACCTCTTCTGGGGCCATTTGGGTGGATTTTTCATATCTCTGGCTCCCCCTGCTGGATTTTGACATGTGACATCTCTTTCTAACCGTCAGAGCCAATGGAATCGAGGGGAACTCCCACATAGTCCTTATTTGGTCATGTGTGTGTGTTATACTGCTGCATTGCCAAGACTGGAAGTAGCAGCCACTCTGGTGGCTACCATTAGCAGCTAACTTTTGCTCTGCGATTTTTACATAAAAATGGAATTATGGATTATAAATAATTCAAATTATTGCCCAGAAACTTTATCAACCTATGGATTAACCGTTTCAGCTCCGTTTTTTCTCGTTTTAATGCCATTGAACACTTCTTTTGATCAGATTAACAGCTACGGTGAGACAATCTCCCTAGAAGCTACGTAAAGGTACGTGTTTTGATGTCTGTCTTTGCTTCCCCTGTCGCAAGTTCGGATCACTCAGTGATGATACTATATACCTAAATAATCTGTGGAACCTCAGCTTTAATCGGATATCTTGTATGTGCAGCTACGATAAGTAATAAGGGTACTTTTATCTTGAGTTCTGTGCCAATGTCCGTTAGCATTTTTCGCTAAGGGGTCATTTAGATGCCTCTTATGAGACTTGTGTTTTTGTTTTGGTAAAAATGGTTTATATCGTCAGTTAGCTGAGATTATTTCCGTTAATCTGGTATAACACATTAATAGGTTCTTAAATATTAAGATCCCCTGAGACCAGTGTTGGGTGTAACGCGTTACAAAAGTAACGGAGTTACAGTAATATATTACTTTTTGCTGTAACGAAGTAATGTAACGCATTACTAATGAAATGTGGGTAATATATTACCCGTTCAGTAACACAGTTACAACACATTTTTAACCCGAAATTAAATGGTGTTTTGTTTTTTAAGAATGTACTAACATAGCGAGACATTCCGACACCGGACAAATTGTGCGGGTAGATTAGTAAACCTGGTGTTTACCCTTCAGGCTTCG